TAATAATAATAATAATAATAATAGTTCATTTATATGGCGCACACATCCATTACACAGCTTCGTAGATGTCAAAACCCTCTAATTGTAAGCCTTAGGAAAAAAAGGTCGCGTAAATCTTAAACGAAAAATCGCTCTAATGGAAGATTTCAAAAGATCGTCTAGGCAACCACGAAGTCTTGTGTGTACTGTATGTTTTTAATGATGTGCTATCTGAACAGTAAAATATGTGCGCTTCATTTGCCATCAAGCTGACTAAAGAAATCATGAACAGAACGAGAATTAAAGCTGACACCATACCTGCTTAGCGACAGCTTTTGCCAGATCTTTACAAGTCTCCGTTTTGCCTGTTCCAGCAGGCCCTTCGGGGGCACCTCCCAGGTTCAACAGGAGAGCCCCCATCAGAGTTCTATGAACAAGGAAAAGTCACAATCAATGAGGTGAAGAAATGATTCAGAAGAAACCTTACTACATTCATTACAGCTTTCACAGTTGACACAAAACTGAAGATAAAGTAAAGGTCATTTGTGATGCAACCATTAATAAAAAGGCTCTCAGAGTGCAGGTTTTACCCCTTCATTACCCTTTTGGATTAAAGTTGACCCTAAGGGAAATGAAAACCGCGAAATTATGATTTAAAAGCACTGAATTCTTACAAATGGCTTTTATATCCGAATAAGTTATTTCCCCGCTGTCTACACCCTATCCTAACTTGCACCGTCAGCGGAACAAGTGTTGTCATTCTCAAATCTTCGTTGAAGCACCGGAAGAATTTCCGACGGTTATCGTCCAATCAGAAATAAGCAGGAGAACTCCGAAGTCACATTGCTTAGTAACATCCCTGTGGGCAGCCTTCGTTTTTATTCCGACCGAAATAACTGATACTTATTATCTGCAACTACCTATGACCGAGGTAGCCTAGGCACCACTCCACCTACCTGTAGCATCTGTCTGTTAGCGGAGTGATAACAAGTCTGCCGCTGTTACCAAGGTACTCATACCCGTACTTGACTGCTGTAGTGATCATTCTGACAATCACAGCCCTCGTTTCCCAGTAGTAACGCAACTGACTGATCCACTGGAAATCGTTTGGGTCTGTCACGCCATCTTCCTTTAGCTTGGCTACCACATCACGCGCTGCCGACAGAAGCGAAATGATAAAGATTATTGACTGACAAGGTCATTAAATATGTAAAACTTTGATGAATTCTTTTGCTTGACTAAGCGACTGACAGAATGTCCACAAGATGTCCAGCAGTAAGAATGTGTCGATGAATGTTTAATTTAAGGAACAAGCTAGAGAAAATACTTACATACTACTTGCTGATACGTAGAAAGTTGTTTACCGAAGCGTTTTAAAGCGAGGACTCGAACCGTGAACACGTGGCATTTTTTCACATTTTAGTGACTATAAAATGAGGACTCTTCATATTAACAAGAGTATTTATCGTTTTACACCGTACAAACGCTAGTCTTGAACATTATACGAAGAGGCTTCATCCTATAGTCACCAAAAAAAAACGTCACGCTTAACACAACGCTTAACACAACGCTTAACACAACATACTGAGCACAACTTACTGGCGAAATGCCGAAATGCCGAAACTTCACACTTAGAATAATAACACAAGTTTCCCTTGGCTAATGGTCGAGTAACATTCTCTTGGCAATTAATACATAAACCTTGTCTGTCCACAAGTTGCAAAGCCAACTAACCATGCACATCGATGACAATCAGCGCGCCTAAAGTGATCCGTGACATGGTGGACAGCTTTCCTCGCACAAGTTCAACAATGTCTTCTATCTGACGTGTGCTTTGTTTGTAGTAATCCTCTAAACCATCCTTCAGTGGCATGGCCTGGAATAGTTACAGACAATACGTATCTAGACACGCGAGAGGATTTTACTATTATCATACATTTACATCAGATGACTGGCTGACGCATCCTCAATAAACTTTTCGCATTGGATGTCTCGTGTTGGTGTAGTCAGAAAAGCACGCTATACATTGGTTTGCTGTTGTCATAATTAACTACCTGAGTGACTTCCTTAGTCCAATATATAATGCTAGAGGCCAGCACTACTTGTCCTGGCCAAGATAACACCCATTCTGTCCTGGGATTCTGTGGATAAGCGGTGACTGCCTCAGACATCACCTCTTGTAGGCTCAGTTTCATTACTTGTTCGATCTACAATTGATTCAACAATTTGAGAATTAGTTTTCATCTACAATGGCAGCCACGAGTGGAAAAAGGTGTTATACTTTAAGATTAGCAGAATGTAGTGAGAGACGTATTTATCAATCGAGAGGGGGAGGGGGAAAACTGTTCCAAAACCATTTCGGTGAGGCAACCTGTCACTGATCTATGGCAGATTTTCGAGAGCTGTAGATCGTTAAAGTAGGTCCACATGCAACAAACCATGATCTTCCTATTCTTGACTAATGCGTTATGAAAAAAAAACAGTTTAATAATCTTCTCTCTATCCATACATAATATAATTCCTAGCGTTTACGCTATCTTTTCGCTTTCAAAACCTCCGCAATTAAAACATTACGATACTAAATAACCAGACAATGAACAAATGTTGCAACATAATTCAAACAGAGTTAGAGTCTTCAGTTATTAATTCCTTCGAACCGTGTTTGCGTTAAGAAACTGGTAAGATGCTAGACAGAGTTTATGTCCTCTTCTTCCCAAGAGCAAGACCCTCATAATAGTACACGACACTTGAGAAAACAATTTGAACTCTTGTCGTAATTCAAAGTGATGCTGTCTTAACTTGGCTTCATTAGTTATCTTTACCTGCAGTAACCATTTCTCCACCAGCCCACGGGCATGCGCAGGTACTATCTTCTTAGAGAATTTCACCGTTTCTCCCTCGGCAGATATCATAGCATTGATCTCTTTCCTCTCGTCAAATTCCAGCTTTGCGATACCTTCGAAACACTTCTTTAGATGCGGCTGAACACGAAGAGGATCTTTCGTCTCGGATAAAATTTCCAGAAGTTCATCATTTGACAGGAAGAAAAATCTGAAAAATAGAGGGTGGACAATGACAAGGCATTGCAACAAGATTCATGGTAGAGAAGTTGAGCGAGGAATAAAGATTGACCGATAAGTAAAACAAGAACCCTTTCCGTTATTTCTTTTTATGCCTGAGCTTCGACTAAACTACACTACTACTCGGTTTGCTTAGACACTGATGTACCTTGAAACAATCATTTTAGCCTCAGTAGCATCAAGCATGAACCAAAAGGAACCATGAGGCAACCATGAGGCAACCATGACAAACGATGATTATGGACTCATCAGACCTAATTTATGCCAACACCCGTCAGGCCAAAACATAATTTAATTAACTTCATACTGTCAACTGTTACTGAGAAAAATAGATGCGTAGAAAACCTGTAAACAGTTTGAACGCGACTTAAGCTTAAAAATATGCAATGCCTTTGCAATCCACATACGGCCTTGTCTATTCATAATGAGTAAACGGAGCCAGCAATTGAAGATTAAAAAAAAATACCTTGGGAAAAACAACCGTTTCTTTTCTAAATAGTCGTTCAGTCCTTTCTGAATGTCCTCGAGAAGGCTCTGGATAAACAGAAACAGAAGAGAGAAAACATCAACCTCTGAAGAAACAGAAAAAATAAACCTGATCGTCACCCGCATATCTCTATATTTCTCACACCGTCAAACAGGCGTTACCTCTGAGACTTGCAGTTTATCTAACATCTGGGACTGTGACGTCACCACCAGTGCACGTGGATCCTTGACTGATTCGGTCATAATCTTCCTCCTGTGATATTCAAACAACAACGAATCTCAACGAAACAGCCGTTATAGCTCTTAGGTTTAGCATAAGAAGAAAACAATCTTGTCCAAGACAAATCTTTGGTGCGTCTTAAAGCGTCTTTAGTTTTTTATTGACTTAGAAGCAGTAAAACGCCAAAACAGTGCAAAAACTAACTTTCATTTTCCTGAACTCTTATTTGCTGGAAGGAAGACATTAAGAGAAAGATACGTTTTAACAAAACAAGGTTCAACATGTTTATAAGATAACACGACGTGATACAAAACGTCTGAAAACACATTCCCAACAATTTTATTCTACTGTGCAGATTTACTGTTTTACTCCGTCAATATTTCTACAATGTTTATCAACTCTCATTTTGACTTGATGATGACGTTAGTTACACGTCGAAACGTCGTCGTTTTTTAACTTTAATTTCCGAGTTAATACATTGTTAATAAATATTTTATAGCATTTCTTTATAGTTAGACACAAAACAGGACAGGCAAAAGGTTAGTAGTTTATCTGGTCATGTAAGATTTCCTCGAGAAACGTTAACATAAAACACAATTAAAACGAACCAGTATTTGTCAACAGTGCGGAATTTCTCTCCTTCCTCTGGCATTTGAGCCTGAATGTCCTCTGAAGAAAAGATTGGTTCTAAATACAACCAAGAAGCTTGAACCTGCAAGACAATTATAAACATTTAAGTTCCAAGATAACTGTAAAACTTATCAAAGTTCTAAGATAATTACAAACGTTTAACTTCAATTCAAAAATAGATCCACGATGTATACAGAGTTGCACTGATTTGTTGTCTCTGCAACGTTCTATCTCTGCCATGGAAGCATTTATATTTCTTAAATGTCACTAACGTAAGCTGCCTTTTCGACTCTTACTTACATCATAGAAAGTACAGTACTAAAAAATCACTACATTGTAAGCAACCGCATAAAATATAAAACACAAACCTTCAGCCAAGACTCCACAATATCTTGCATCAAATTCTGAAAATAGAATATTTACAGCACAGGCGATTAATACACGGCGAAGTTTTTGTGCATAACGCAAAATAAGAAATGGTATGATAGAAAACGTGTCAACCTACTAGTTTGGTCTCCCATTCTTTCATTTCCGCTTCAAAAGGAACAACGAAAGGAGATCCCTTCATTGTTAATGTTTTCACAATGTGATCATCAAGCAGAACCTGCCAAACAAACAAGACTGCATTGGTACAAAACACTTCGGTTGTGTCAGACTCGACCAGGGAGAGCTGTACAAGTGGTTCCAGTGAACCGAAACAAAAGGCAATTTCCGGGTTGCTTTTCGCCTCTTTGTCAAAACGAGTCTTAATGCGAAACCATTTATGTGAAAATGTGTTTCCCCCTATACTGTTCATTTTCATGCAAACCAAACTCATTTTCATATGAAAGGTTGTGCGCGAAGACTCGTTTTGAAACAGAGGCAAAAGCCGGGGAACAAGGTAACTCGGAAATGGCCTACTGTTCGATCCGAACAGGGGAGAAAGTCGTCCTACGGTCAGTAGCTAGAGATAAAGGTTTTCCTTCCATCTCGGTCAATAAGCAACTTATCTTTACCTTTTTACAGGGGTAATACAAACAATCAGATATTGAGTCTCACCTGCAGGTCATCCACCGCCGACAGGATACTTATTCCAGTGTCTTTGTACTGAACAAATACAAAATCAACGTCCCTCCACTCTGTTTTCATTTTACTCAAGGCCTGATTAGAGAAAGACAGGCAAAGAAGATGATTCGTTAAAGCGGAATCTCCAAACCTTCGATAACATATTTCCCCATACGATCTTCATTCCTGAATGAATTGTATCTAGCAAATACAGTTCAGTTACTACCTCAATCATATTTGAAGTAATTATGTAAATAAGATGGTTAGTTTTGTGGTAAATCTTTGCAGGTGTGTACAGTCCTTTCGATAAAAGAAATCAAATTGTAAAACTGAATCACAAACAAACAAAAGTTAACAAACTAAAGCCGGGAAACAAGTGCCATGTTTTGCAAATCTCCGCCTAAACAATGAAAGGGTTCTATTTTTTCATATCCCATAAAAGATTAAGAACCGCAGCAGCACTAGCGAGTACTCTGAAAAATGATAGCATTAATCAAGAGACTATGATCTTGTCTCTTGCATAAATTCACCAACAGCTCGGTCAAATTTCTCCCTGGACAATCTTTCACAAGAAACATCCATTATCGAAGCGACACTTGATGTAGCAAACACGACATAGTACCACATAGTATCATAGTATCACTGACCGTTTTTTGTTTGTTTGTTAGTTTTTGTTTTTTTGTTGTTTTTTTTTTTAACTACTCACCTTTTCAAGGGAGAACTCTTTAGCTGCTCTGCCGCTGATCTCAGTTAAGTCCTCTACAAATTTATCGAGTCCGAGAACTAGCATCTCGTTTAGTGTGGTGTCCTCTTTCGGAGCAATGTTGAATCCAATCTAGATTGTAACGAATAAGTACAAATGATACAGGTTTTCGCACTAATGAATTGAACTAATATATCAAATACGAATGACCGTGTTTGACCACATTTCCAAACACCGAGAAGAGAGTTGAAAATATGACGCGCAGCGGAGTATTTTTGACGAACTTCGAGGTGTTTGGAAATGAGGTCAAACACTGTTTTGAGTGTTTGATATATCTTCTCAATGGAAACTAAAACTAAGGAGAAAGCGAAGAAATAAAGTCGTCAAAATCTATGTAACTAGAATCAGCTATCCAAACACCGTCATGGTCACCCTTTGTTTCAACTTGATAAATCATTCATGAGTTTGAGAAGTACAAATAACAAGTAGTTACTATTGTCTTATCATACCTTAACACTCATAGCTTCCCAATGTCTGTCCTTGATTCCAGGAGTACACAAGGCGTGTATCAAAGGCATGTTAATCTTGAAGTTCTCCAACCTCGCTTTAATTGTAGATGCTACCCTCAGGGGGCCGCGGAATTCAGGATGAGCAAACTCTTTTGTCAATTTGTAACTTGTTCTCCAGAGCTCTGAAACCTGTGAATGGTAAAGAGCAACAGATTAATGGAGAAAATGGTCAACAAAACCTGATACGTAACAGAACATTACTGAGTGTTGGTGCCTTATTACCATAACAGATTAAAATGTGTAATAAAATATATTCATTGCACAGGAGGTTGTCAAAGTTGCGTTAATTATATTAGCATGAATATGAGAATCTAAGCCTTTCCTGGATTGCTTGACCCACACTAAGAGGTGAGAAACTTATATGCTTCACATATAAACGAACGACTATGCAACAAGGAATTTTTTTTCAACAGTAAACTCAAAGATTGTGAATGCCAACCACACTAAAGTTTTACATAATCTACGCTCTATATAGATACCTCTTCTTCGATCTCTTCTGCATTCAGTTTTAATATCGGCCCAGCCAGCCATGCCTCTTGTTTGTCATGAAATGTCACCAAAGCTCTCCACAGCTTGTCAAATGGTTCTTTTGCTTCTATTATCTCTTGGATTTGAGGAAATGCGCTGTAAACTTCACAACCAAGGAGGCCTTCCTCCTTGTTGATCTTCTTTCTCTGTTGAAAGAGGAAAACAAACAGACGTGACGTGATGTTTGGTTGAAGCTGAAAAACTCTTTTATAAACGTCTTACAAATTCAGTGGGCTACAGTTTCTATCTAAAATTAGCTTTTAAGTATAATGACAGTTATTACTATTATTATTATTGTTGTAGTTGTTGTTGTTGTTGTTGTTGTTGTTGTTACGTGGGGACAACTGTACGTCAGGCCAATTCCCATTGAAGCACCAAAAGACTTTCCAATTAATATTGGCCAATCAGAAACAGTATAAGAATTCCGAAAGTCGTGACGTCAATTCGCTGCGAAGATGTGCCGCCATGTAATTTAAGCAACCCCTCTGACCAAACCTGCGGGCTCAATTTAGCCTTAGAGACAAGTTACTAATAATATTGGTACTAGCTAGTTTTCTTTAAGTTGATGTACCTCCTCAAGAAACACTTGCACTTTTTCTTTGAGTTCCTCTAGCTGTGCCAGATACGTCTTTGCCTCGGACATTCTGTCCTTGGTGTAAAACTCTTTCACACTCTGCAGAGTTTCATTCAACTGCATCTCAAATCTCGCTTGCCAATCAAACAGCTTGTTCATGGCGGTATCGTGTTCTCGTGTAATGCGAGTTTCACTGGATAGCACGAGACATAATATACAGAACGCATCATGAGGTCACTTGAAAAGATATCTTTACCTTCACTCTTATTACGTGAGTAAAGTGGGTGAGGCATGACACAAACTGCATACAATTAAAATAAGTGAATAAATAATACGAAGAGGAAAAAATACTGAGATGTTGTCCAGGAAAAAAGCAGGCTAAATTAGTTCATAAAGGCAGTCACTTTCTATCATCTCTGTAAATTTCGCTTTGACGAATACAAGATAAGTGGGCGTAACCAGTGCCACGCCTACACAAAGTTGAATATTTTACGACGACCGTTCTCTTTTTGAAACATTTAGACATCGAGCCAGAGTTTTCAATGACCGATTGTAGTTCACCATTAAATTTGCTCCGATTCTTATTGGTAAAAAAAGTTGAAAATAATTCAAAATGGTGGTGGTGAACAATAAACGGCAATAGAGTGTTTCTGTCTCGGAACTATCGGCCTGATAGTTGCCCTCAGAAATTTGATGTTCTCAAAACTAGCATATTTGTTTTAAGAACATCAAATTTCCGCTGAGCAACTATATATTCTAGACAGATACACTCTCACTACTATTTAAATAGAATTTGTTTCATTAGACACCGCGGAGAGAACCGGTCACATTCATGAATGCTGTATAAAACTTTTAGTATTAAATAAATACTTGTTTTATGTAACAGGGCTTTTGGATTAACAAGTAAACGTTCTACTGAAGCCTAGCTTTGTCTGGTCAGGAGTTGACATTCATATTCTGAGCTCAACCTCAATTTCAACCTAACGTACCTCATTTTAATGATGGGTATGATCCGTTCAGGCCAGGTGAATGTAGTTTCATTGAGAGCCAAATGATCATCAGCTAAAAACGTGTGATCCATCAGAAACAAAACAAGATCTCCTGCTTCCTCCAGCTCTGTCTGGTGTGAAAAAAAAACACAACAAAAATCAATATTTTTATAATCACTGCTGGTAATTTTATTGAATCAGAGAGCAAAACCACAGATATCACAAACGTTTTAATCAATGAAAACAGAATTCAATACACTTGACTTGTAGAATTTAAAACGTTTGACTTGCAAAAAAACATCGGATGTAACAAAAGCATATCTGTGTAAGGATAAATCTCATTCAGTCATGTAAGTGACATAAACAAATCTCTGGGGTTTAACAGTCACAAATGATAGTGCTGAATTAACTTCTACCTTCAGATGCACCAAGGGGCCGCTTCTCAAATTGTCAATATACTTTTCCAGGTCAACAAGTTCATCAGTGGTCTTTGATGACGATGTTATACGATTAACAATGTAATCATACTGGTGGCATATGGAGCGGTTGAAATCAAAACTCTTCCTGGTCAGTTTTGACGTCATCATGCTTACCAGATCATCAGCACGTGACACAAGGAACTGAAAATGTTACGAAATACGTGAAAGTGCTAACAATGATTTGTATACTGTACTACGAAAATCATCAAGTAAGACTGAAAAAGTACATAAAGTTTTATTTGACTTCGAATTACAGATAGCAAAAAAACTATATGCCAATATCTTTGAAGAAATTCAAATAAGTCTTGACTAAAGATGTCCAATAAACTCTGTGCAATATGCCCGCAGTTCACCATGGTTATACAAGCTCAAAATGAGTTCAGGCGCGAGTCCTTCGTTATCCAGAACTTAGTTTTACGGATAACGTAATTCGATTCTCTTAAGTCTTTGCTGCTGAAATACTTAAGTTGAAGATCACAAAATTAAAATGCCAAGTTTATTAAGCCACATTTAAACAAGTAAAACGTAATAGAAGGGCAACATATCTTGATAAGATTACTTACAGTCCTTGAAGAATAGCATCATTCATTTCTGGATTGAAAGCTTAGTCTACAGAGCTCAAATATTTACAGTGGAACCTTGTTAATTCGGTCACCAACGGGTCGCAAAAATCTGGCCGGTATTAATGGGGTGACAGTAGTAAAGAGCTTACATAAAAATGGCTGGCTGTGCTTTTGTTCGGGCCACAATAAAGTGGCCGTAATAACGGGATGGCCACATGGCGGAGTTCCACTGTACCCGTGAATCTTGGTGAAAAAATAGTAATTACTGATTGTGTTTTACCTCTTTGATCTTGGTGCAATCCAGCACAAATAATTCCATCGGAATGAACAGATCCATTGAGGCAGCCATTTTGGAAAGGTCGTACACCTTTTGTAACTCCCTTCCATACTCCAACAGATGACGGTCAGTAGATATGAACCTCATTGTCCTGATATCAGACTCTCTTGTCAGCAAATACTGCAATGGGTCATAAACTGATCGGAACCTTGAAAAGAACAAAAACACAATAAAGGTACCTGTCATACGTATCGATCACAAGTGTATAATAAAACAAGTACTGTAATGTTGATCCACGCAGTACTAGTAATATACAAGCTGACGATAAAAAAGTGATAGTTGCCTAGACCTACATAAGGAATTTAAGGAAGGGGACCACATGAAGCCAAGAAAGAGACTCTTTTGACCTCAAAGGGATTCAAAACCAGGACCTCTGGATTCGAATCCCACCAAGGTGAAAAGAATTTTTCTGTCTTATACGTCTCGATTTCTTTTCAAGCGCTAGCGTTAATTCTCTAATTTCCAACTTTTATAACACAAGCTCAGTGTTGAAGCCTGTTTGAATCGTAGTGATCGGAGGAGCCTGCACATGGTACATCACTGCTGGGTCTTCAGTTTCGGTAGTAACGGTAGCTCATTGTTAGTTATATCCCTTTAAAGGCACTTCAGAATATTTTTAAAAACACAACAACGCTTTTCAGTTTTCGGAACATGTTTCGATGTTTCAAACATCATCATCAGCCATAATGAAAATATAAGGTTTACAGAAAGATCATTATTATATATGTAACAGCCTATACAATGAGCCTTTATAAATTTAAATTAACGTAAAATGCAAACTTATTTAAACT